AAGAAATCCCACTTGGGCGAGGCTAGCTTTCAATCGTGGTTAGCCCCCTGAACAGGGCTTCCCACTTCTATTACAATCAATAGGAGCTGGAAGAGACCTGAGAGGTCTTCTAGTCCAACCCCCTCGCATCCAGAAAAGCAGTGGTTGTCCTCAGAACAGGCTTTCCCTACAGCGGGTGCTGTAAAAACTAGGTCAAAAATCAAATATTTTGCAATTTAGGGGGAAAAAACTCAGACCAGCTTCCTGGCACTTCCAACTTTTAAAACTGGGGCGCCCTCTGCTGGACGAAGCTACAAACTGCTGTTGAAAAAAACAGTAAAGGATTTTTACATTTGATATACTAGTAAAAGATTTGCTTATGATTTAAAATATTAATACATTTTTGGGAGCGGGGCAGGATAATGTATTAATACCTGTAAGTAAGATTTATTATTTAAAGGAGGTTAGTGTAAACACCAAAGCTTTGGAAGTTGATTTCCTCCAAGAGTATGAATTTGAACAGGGGGAATGAATTAAAAAAAAAATGTATTAAGAAATGGGGAAAGTGCTTTTATTCAAGATATTAAGGAATTGCTGTTGGGAATGTTGGAAAAGGCAATATTTTCTTTCAATCAAAGGAGGCAGGGTGATCCCTTACAATAACATCTTGTTTAATATTACAGTAGCGAATTCACTGATTAAACCAGGTGAATTCACTACTGTAATATAACTACAGTTATACATAACTACTGTTATACATAACTGCAGTTACTTAACTATTAGTTAAGTAAAAAGCATAACGCAGGGTTTTTTTTCTTTTGAGTTCGCGCCCTTAATTTTGACTTGCACAGCTGTGGAAAAAATGTGTGTGTGTGTGCTTTAAAAAAAAGGAAAACCAGTTTATTGCGTGTCGATTCTCGTCGATAAATCTACAAGGAGTGGTGCGGTTATGAGGTGGAGTTCTCACCTCACAATTAGGAGGGTGTGTGTTTGATCCTAGGGAGAGGCAGATATTTCTCTCTTTCTGGGCACAATGAGGATATATCTGCCGAACAAAACTCCTCATTGCCGTCAGGAAGGGCATCTGGCCAGGAAATCCTCAACTACATTCAGTTGCTCAGACTCCACCCCGGCGCAAGGGATTATGGGGTTGTTATGATGAGGAATTCTCATCTATAAATCCATAGTAGCCTTGGGGGAAATTACATTCGGTATACATCCCTATTCCATGGCGTGAGCCTTAAAATTGGTGTTTTTTTCAGCAAGTTGTTAAGTTTACTAGTAGCTTACTCGTTTCCCTAATTCGCTCACTTGCTTTAGCAGAAATTTTTTTTTAAAAAAAGAAATAATAATAAAAAGCCTCCAGGATTCGTGGCGGAGGGAAGAGGGGAGATGTTTACCGTCGGGTTTTGAAGGACGACGATCGATAGAAGCTGCTTTCGAACTCGGCTTCGAAAATCGATTGGGGGGGGACTTGGTTCTCTGTCGAACCCATTTTTTCCCCCACATTTTCATGCGGCCCTGGGCAGTGCAGCCAGGGTGAGGTTTCCTATGAAAGTTTCTTTTTAATAAATAAATAAATGCATAAGTAAATAAATAAAACCCAACGAAAAACTTTGTTAAATAATCACCTTAAAAAAAAGGGGGGGGGGCGCGGAATGATCCAGGAAGATGCTAAGCCATCCCAATGTTCAAATTTCAAATGTATAACACCTCCCTCCCCCAAACGATACAAAAATCACATGCCCAAGGAGATGGGACCCGTATCTCTTTTATCGTCGGTATTCTCAAATTGGCAGCCCCCTCTTCCCCACTGATGGAGCTTAAAGATGAGTAGAGAGGTGGCATCTCCAGGGAGTTTCAACAGCCAGGTTTTCTTCTGGGGGGCCTTCTGAAATATAGGGGTAAACATTTGGGTTTGTTTCGTCCTTGTGTTGTGGCCCGTCAGCGGAGCTGGCAGTAGATTCGGACAGTGAGGAGGTTGGGGAGGAACAGGGGCCAGTCCTGGAGTCTGGGGGAGGCTCTGATGGGGGCTCTGTGTCGGAGGTGGACATTGGGGGGGACGGGGACGGGGGGAAACCAAGTTTGTTAACCTGGAATAAACTGGGTTTGTTGTGCAGACAACACTCTGGAGAACCAGGCTCGGTGTGAGACACGTTTTGTTTTTGCTGTTGTTGCCAAGATCGATCCGCAGGCGACGAAAGCGATAACACAAAGAAAAACAGGTGTGATTTTGTATGAGGGAACCGACTAAAAAAGTTTACACCACGTTTTCAGTTCAGTATCTCACGGGCAGGGCGAAAAATTAGGATTTGTCGTTTAGGCTAAACCTTGGTCTGATGGAGAAAGGGGTTTCTGTTATGGTGGGCAGCCAATGTCGCTAGGTTGACGTGTCACGGTTAAGGTTTGTTGAGCAAACAGTAGTTGCAGAAAGTTAAAAGTGGGCTAGGGCATGGAGAGGCTCCACCCCTTTGTGGGTGGTGCTTCGATGGCAGCGGCCATCTTGAATATTTGGGAGGCCAAAATATGTGTGAGGCAATCAGAAGTGGGTGGGTTCACATGTGCTAAGCCCAAAGATGGGTTGGAATTATGGGGGAAAGCCAAAACCAGCCCAAAGTCAAGGTCAACCAAGTTTATCCAAGTTTGACCCGAGTCTTTAGACTTGGATAACCCAAGTTTATCCAAACGTACATAAACCAAGTTTATCCAAATTTGCACAAACCAAGTTTATCCAAACTTACACAAACCAAGTTTATTCAAGTTTGACCCAGCTCCATCCACATCCTGTTAGGTTCCTGCCTTAAAATGCAGTCACTTTTAAACCATGATTTGGTGACACCCCCCCCCCCCAGCCCGACAC